TGCGTTCGTTTGACGGGGTCAAACGTCCAGGGTGCTCAATATAACTCGACGCTCGATGGAGCTGGTGACCATTGCCACAACCGGAAGGTTCGTACGTCTCCTCTTCGTTGATTTGAAATCACGGTTTTCAGCCAAATCACCCATGTGAACGACCAGTGGTCCACCAAACCAGTTATAGCCGCAGATATTGGCTTTTCGTCCTCTCACTTTAATGGGAAAACACCGTCACAAGAAAGCATTGAGGCTCCATCTGTTAAGGCCTGTTAGCATGGTGAGATGCCGTCTTGATGATACAGAGGGAAGGCCAATGTGAAAATCCCCACGTACGTGGTGTCTGCTGGGATGAGTCATGCAATCAGTTGGTGAGATTGTTCGTCTCACAAACGTGCCTCAAAGGTGCCAAGTTGGCTAACGGACCGCTCCGGCTGAGAATGTCTAACAAGGCAACAGTCGAATTGGACGACAATCTTTATTCCGACAAGTATCACTTGCATCCCATACTTTTGAGGGCCTGGTAGCAATTCACATAAAATCTGTCTGCGATCTATTCTGACCACGGTTTAGCCGTTGATGACTTCACCTTACACATTAAACAACATTGAAGATACCAGCTTCAGCTGCCTTTGGTCGTGGATATCCCTAGACCAGCCGTAATGTCATCATCGCATAAACTTTCCCCTTCCCTAATTGCTGGAATGGTACATTGTTACAGAACTGATTAACCTATCCTGATTCTCTCTCAACGATTAAACAGCATATGCTTCATAACTTATCCTCCTGTGCAGATCCGACAACACACACGATTGATCGGATTCAACTATCGATCCGTCGGGTGGTTCAGCTTGCCCACCTAACCTCCCTGTGTTTCCTCCTATTGTCCACCCAAATGGGCAGCCTAACCCGAGCGAGAATCCCCACATTGTCCATTACTTTCTGTCTTTAGCATACTCAGTTGACTTCGACTGTGCACAGCAGGAATGCCATCATCTTACGGTTGGACCAACGGAGACAATCAGGGTGTCACAAACATTGCGAACGGGTGATAAGAGCGTCTCGTGTCAGGTTGAGAGATTCCAAGGAAAATGATCTAATCAACTCGCGGAGAAGGTCAGAGGGAATTTAATTGTTTCAAGTCATGGGTGAGTGTGACAAGATGAAGTGGAACGATGATGCCCCGTGTTGGTTTTCTACCCTAGAGGTCCGGGTGAATCTCCAGCTAGGCCGATGTATTCATACCAATTTATCCACCCATCTTAACGTAAATTGCATCTTTACCCAACTTACCGAGGACGATTACCAATGGATTCGTCATTTCCGTCTACGGCTAACTCAAAAAAGGTAAAGAACAGACGGTTCCCGGACTGGGGGATAAGCAGTCAAATCCCACACCGCCTCCACCCCAAACTGTCATCATCGCTCGATAACTCACTCAAAATGTGCTCCTGCTTGCTTATGGAAAAATCACTTTGTTTCGAGCTGGAATTTTTGTTCGTAGACGTTTCGCGGCCAGAGTAGGCAACAGCAATGCAACTTTGCGGAAGCGCACATCCTCGGTATGACTGTGCTTATATATTTATGTTCGAGGGTTTTGATTGTTTTTTGTAGCCCTTCAATTCCATTGATCAATTGCGACCACTGTTGTGACTTGATTGGCTGCTCCGTTGTTATGGTGACCCCCTTTTTCTCCATTGGTCTATTGGCTTTCTTGGATTAACCGCCAACCGGTTTGAACCGGTTCCAAACTGGTTAGGACTGGTTTGGACCGATTCTAGCCCGGTCAGTCTTGGGTCACCAGTATCTCGTTAGATAGTGATAAATGAGTTCAAGTGCATAGTGCACTATGTTTACACTGTCCCTCCTGGAGTGACATTCCTTTTGAGTTTGATTAAGGCTAAATAAAGATGAAACAGTTCAACGAAGTTTCATCTGAACCTCACGAACGAACTCATCGAAACACCTGACGCAAAGATGTGGAACTCATCACCAAACTCAGTTGTGAGACCTGAGGTGTTGGGGGCTAACATCACCAAATGTGACACATTGCATGAGGTGCAAAATCGTCAGTAGCGACCTAACGGAAAGCTTGAAAAACGACCAAAGTCGGTTAGTTGCTGCTAGCAAAACAACAACAACAACGTATCATCTACGGTGCATCCTCTTTACAAAGAAAAACAGACAGTTGATCCCAAATAGGCGTTTACAAATCTCTACATAAAGGTAATCAAACATGAAAGTAATGAAGGATTTGATTCATTTCAAAGGGAAATTCGTCCTGTATAGAGTAAATAAAGTTGCCCGGTGGCCGAGTGGGTAGCATGCTTGCATTCGGTTTATGAGATCCCGGGCTCGATCCCCAGTTGGGTCCATGGATTCGTACTTCTGATGTGACCCAACCAGGTCGACGCAGATGTCCAGTGCCTCCTAGCTTTTCAGTTCACGCTTCATTTGCTCTATACACGAGGAAGTTCCATTCAGAAATTAACCAAAAATATCGAAGCACTACTTATTCGAATTCACCATTTGAAATCATGCGAACAGCGAGAATCGATCTCTGTTTGTATAACCATTGTAGCCTGCACATAGAGGGGGCATGTACTATATATCACCTTGATAATGCGTGCCCAGAGAGGGAGAAAGAGATTCAGCTGAACAATTCCGGTTGCATTGTGCTTCGTCACTCAGACACCACATTTTTTATTCATCTGCTTGGAAATAAAGGTGACGCAACCAGTGTATCCATTCCCTTGTTCAACCCGAGAACTAATTTACACGGAAAAACAACAACTATCCCAGTTCCAGTATAACACGTGTTCATGCACATTTATAAAAATGAGAATAGCACTGAGCTAAGCATAACTGGAATGAGGCATACTAAAACACACGCAATAGTCAAAATGTGTGTGTGAGGAACATGCTTACTACACATCTTCACTAGGTCGCTGAAGTGGATGTGAAATGACTAAGGAAAAATTGAAATAATGCGAAACAGAAAGGATGAGAGGTGAATGAGTTGTCAAATGAAAAATCCAGCTGGCCAGAAATCGAATGAAACAGTTGACATTCTCTAGGTGTGTGTGTGTGTGTGTGCATTTGTGTGTGCTTTGTAACGAAGCTTGACAGGTTATTATTTATTCCATTGACTTGGCTGAGGGGATGGAGATTGCATTGCGAAACTTAATAACGATTTTGCTGGGCTCCTTCTTGGCGTGGGTTGAAGAGAAGTCAACTGAGACAGGGTGTTATTATGCCTCGAACGCTTGACAGCTTGCGTTTTATATTTCAAACGAGCCAATATACGTTTGAAACTATTCCAAGTTGATCGTAATGTGAATCTGTGGTTACCCAGAACAGACATAGTTCCCAACACGCTAGGTGACAACGAAGTGGATTCTGTTGGTCGTGGACCGATTTCCACAGGGACGCTCACCTCACTCAGATTTGATTGTATCGTGTCGTTGGCGGTAGACAGACTGGTCCAATCCGTCCATGTGACGGCTTCACCGAGTAAATCCCGTTTCCGTTGTCTCAACAAGGCACGATACACTGCATAGGTGGAATCACCACAATGGGTTGGTGGAGTGTGAAAATAGCGCGAGAACTCTGCCTCATCGAGAGTGATCAGACGCGGTGGTATGGAGCTGGCCGGGGAAGAAAGGGTTTTACGTTTCATAGAACCTGTCCGGTATGCAAGAGCGCAGCACGCACCACAACCGGTTGGACCGGACCTTCTATTTGGGGGCTTGGTTTTGGGCATCGGTCTCCTGGCCGGTGGTATTACGGGCAGTGTGCTGTCGTGCACAGATATGTTGTTCTGATTTGCCGATAGATGTGCGATCCCCTCACGGTGGCTATGTCTCGGAATTCGGTGAGCCTTGGATAGGGCCGGTTCGATTGGCATGACAGTTGTTCGTTTTTCTGGTGGATGAACCATGAAGTTGTGATGAATCATACCGGCGGACAGATTTTGAAGCCCTCGCTTCGATAGTTTGATCAAATGCAACTTGTTCCCGAGTACAACAGCACATGGATCAGAATTATCTATTGGGCTTCTATAGATGAGCTGAAATGGAGATGGGAAAATTTATGTTTTAAGTGAAATCAGATGATAGTGTTCTTCTTGTTATCGGTGTTTTCACAAGGAGGGTAAAGTTTGCGGCGTGACGCAATCAAGCATTGCCGCATTTGCCCTTGAGGGGTTTCCCACTTTACTCCTTAATCACTGTCTTTATGCGTTTAGATAACTAATCGCTCCGATCGAAGCTGGCATACACGTGATCCAATCTGACGACAACTTTCACCGGCAAATTCTCACATGCCCTAGTCCTGACAACTTTCTCCGCATGTGCCTGGCTGGTGTGGGAAAGGTACACTTGATTGGGTGTTGCTATCGGCCAGTAGAGCCCAACCGACTTTAGCCCAATGTGTGTATCAATTCAACTCGGTTATCGGCAATGTCAACTTGATGCTATATGGTGGGCTCGCCGAAAAGTTTATCCTCCTTGTAAAATTATATCTTCCAATTTTACTTATATTTTATTCATATTTTAGCGACAGTGTAGGTAAAACATGCACCTCGGACAGCGGTGGCATTCTGGGGCACAACTAGTGATCGAGAAAGGCGGCTATCATCAGAAATAAACCTGCACACATCTATTCCCGTTGATGCCAGAATAATTTCCAAAATGATGGCGTATAGACTGATTTCAATCATGAAAAAATTCTTACTATTAACTTTTACATTTTGTTCGTCTCAA